ATGTTCACTGTACAATCCAGAGATTACATCGAGGAATAATATGGGATACCCACGGCCAGACTAATGAAAGGCTGGATCAAAATGCAGAAAGCGTTTGCACAAGAAACTAATAGACGGATTTTCCTGATTAAGTGCAGGGAATATGGCATATGACGTTGCCCACTACCCACTTCGCACAAAGTATATAGAAAGGTCTTTTTTTCCCAGGACAACTAGTCCTTCTCTTTATACAACTGGGAAGGTCTCACCAATAAGTCTAGAGAGTTAGATTCTTACACTTCGGATTACCAGTAGCATTAAGAGGAGGATTGATAAAGAAGATGTAATCTTCAATTTTTCCTTCTGTTCATAAGCATAAATAGATTGTGAACAAATCAATACAATACAAACTATTTGAAGATATTGCTGTTAAAATTAAAATTTTCTACATTAACCTTACATGAAGATATGATGACGTAGTTCCTGATATACAGTCATCATGCCATCAGCGATAAGTGTAAGATTGCAGCACCTAGAAATTTTTAAGCGCTTGTATAATCAAGAGCCATCAATATCAAGATGGAATATTTTGTTTCACAGTGCCAATTTATCTTATAATGTTGCCAAAAGATTGATAGAAACGACAATAACGATATAATGCATGTGATGTTGGATCCTTTGGTGTAGCAAATATCACTACAAACATCTTCAGGGTAAGATGAAAACTAAAATCTTAACCAAAATATAACCTAATATATACTTGTCAAGAGCAGCCAACCGAGGTCGCATCAACAAGTGTGTGATGTCACTACCTGTCGGAACGACACGTCACAAGTACGTCACCTTTAGGTCACAAGATCATACAGCTGGCTGTTATGAATGGGACCCCTGTCTTTGTTCATTGCATTCTCTAACCTCTTAGGTATTCATACGTTTTCATATGCATATTTTGAAATACGTTCCTTGTTCGATTTTCTCCCAAAGTTTTTAAGAACAAATAATGTGTTTTCATATTCCGCATTCTTACCTATGTCCAAGATCCCGTCAGACAAATTCCGTTCACTGCTCTAAGCTATATAGACCGAATTCACACGGCCGGATCCCAGACATTGTCACCGACCACTGTACGAACAAACCTTAAGTAGTAAGTTCATACTTGTGTGACTTCTTAGACAATTCCAGAACGAGATGTCAGGAGTTTCTAAGCTGCTGCAATCGGTGAAAACGCAAAAATGTCGAAATCGGGTCGAAAGCTGCTTTTAGCGGAAACGGTGCACAAGGTAAACATACGCCTTCGATAGTTCTTCAACTTTAATACAAATAATTTTTAGTGTAGGGATTGTCAAAGTATGGGGTGAGGCCAACTCTCAAAAAAAATTTGATACGATAAATAAGTGCACTCACTCTCGTCACTCGATCCACCCGAGTACATATTCAGAGAATTTTGATAGGAAATACGTCGGCGGGGCATTTAAAATGGCGAAATTCTAGAAGCCATCTAATGGTGAGATTCCTCGGGGGCAACCATTGTGCGGTGAAGGGGACCTTTTTGTGTTTGCCTATAAAAGGACTTTACAAATTGGCGAATGGGAAAGAAAAGTATCTTGTTATGATAATATTTCATAAAAAGGGTCGGTTGGTATGCGATAACGGCCCTTCTCGGGTTTCTTTCATGACTGCGATGATTCTTCTTTATGCCCGCTACTTGTACCTGAATATATCTTTGTAAGGTTTCAGGCTGAGATATATCTATCTATAAGATCAAAGATGGTACGTTTCGAAGTTTGTGATATAATGGCGAGTGTCACCACAATGTTTACACGCCCAAACGTACATCCGGTTTTGATGGATGACTAAGTTTTGTCAGAAAATCATTCGTTTCTCACCATTGATGACACCCAGATACATAACAGCATTCCGTCATGGTGGGTAGCGCCACACAAAGATTCAAACCAAAGGTATTTGTCTCCTCCCGTTAGCTCCCATCATGCCATACACTTGTATGTATGTACATTTTATCTGTTCAGAAACAGAAATTAGTAATTTAGAAATTACTATTTGCATCTTTGTCGGTGTTGGTTATTTGGTTACACCGCGATGTTTGTCGCCGGGTTATCAGTAAGCGCGCTCAGAAATTCGATTTTCAAACTCAAAAAACCTTCCTCCTGTTGAAATTGACCAGCAGTTTGTTGGATTAGGCAAATCAAATACACCGGCAAGGCCTGCTACATAGCGGTATCATTCTGTTTCACGACAACGCTCGGCCTCACGTTGTTGCAAAAAACACAGACGCAACTGGACAGGATACAGACTTTCAACATTTTCCAAAACATAAGGAATTTCCTGGTGAAAATCGTTTGGAAAATGGCGAAATGTTGGAAGATGTTCATGGTACCTATATTGGAAAAGAAAAACTGTTCATATTTTAGGTTTTGATGCAATTCACATTCATAAATACTATGTCTCTAACTCCATCAGAAAACGGTTCTTAAACAATGACTCTCGCTATTTGCACAAACCAAGATAATATTCCTTTAGAGTACTCCTCCCGTAGACTTACTGTCTAGACTGCATTGTGAGACCGACTGGTGACACTTTCTCAACAGACTACTTCTCTGAGCTGACAATGACAAAATAGGCCTTTCATTAGTTCTGTTAAGTGTATGGCGATCCAAGGATATCGTTAACCTGTTTAACATTTTTTTCTCTGAAAGCTTATTTAATTATTGACAATAATCATAAGTATATGATGTTCTCAAAAAATTTGAACACATCTGATAAAACATTTTTCATGTGCAGCCGAAGCTTAAAAATAATGACCCATCAGACAACACCATGCAGTGTATTCAACTGGAAGCCCACATAGGCAGCATAACTTATCTTTTACTTAAGGTTGACAAGACTGTAGGCCGCGTGTGTATAGGAGTTGAATTAGCAGCTACTATTTCTCTAAAAAACCAACGGTATCCCAACGGAAGCACACCAAGGAAATATATTTACGATTGTTCCGCCTCCATTTCTTCTCTAGTAGTGCAAGAAGCCATTAGTTTGTATGTTGTTGTCATAACTAGCATTATTTACGTTAATATCAATGCGCCACTTGTGTGATCACTAACATGGCATATTAGGGTGTAGGTTTTGTATATAGGTTGAGCAGGAAATACTTGCGCTTCTGTGTTTAATGTGAAAGAGAAACATAGAGAGTGACACACGTATTTTAAGCAAGGACTACGAAAGCATTTTTTTGTTGCACGTCAACAGCTGCTACAGCCAACTTTGCCAGGTATCAGTTTATGAAGATACAGCGACGCCTAGGGTAAAATTAGGCAAATACATTGTATACATGTTTTGTCAAAGCACATAGGCAATCAGTTGCCAGGTGTGCGTTGTACGTAAGAGGGGGTAACACCTAGATGGAAATTGGGAAAACAAAGTTACATACAAATTGTATTATTTTAAACTAGAAATGTGTATGTTCTTACTAGTTTCTTTACCTGGTTTTGCAGAGCAATAGATTAATTGACCTCAGTTAGAAAAGTCCAGAGCAGTGATATCGGTAGAGTAGCACTACGTTCTGATGAAGGAAATCAATGAGTTTGAATTAAGCACTTTGACTGACAGTTCAGTTGCAGAGAAGCCAAGGGCGAGTCATTTGAGTCTTGAGGCCTTTCAACCCTCGAACAGAAGCAGTAATTGTATCCATTATCTGGTGGGATCTTATTTATCTCAAGTTACCAGAAAGTGTCCATTTTAGATACCGAAATTGACTTTGGAAACCACGAACCTTTGTAAAAACCAGATACAGCTTCTACACTAACATACTTACTTGTCTTCATGACTCCTATGCCTTATGCTGCGCCAGTAAAAGTTGTTGGCAAAAAGAAATAGCACAGTATACAAGGATGATGCTAACAAAGTTCTGTTGCAATACTTCAGGCAAAAACGAGATAAAAAATTATCGTTGCATCATTCCTCCACATGTGGCGTTTGCGACATGTGAGTAGTCATAATACATAAGTAATACACTTTAAGAAATTTGCTTTGACAGCAATAATTGCCGCTGCATAAACAACATTTGAAGCTGACACCCCTTTAAACTCTCGAACAGAAGCAGCAATTGTATCCGTTATCTGGTGGAATCTTATTTACCTCAAAGCCCCAAGGAAGCTTCCAAGGTATTCCCGAGTAATTGTTCGCTGTAGCGGTAGCGAAAACTCAGGAACATCAGGAACAGTGGTATTTCGTATTTAATTAAACCGGCGGTCCTCCTGTAAGGATTAATTAGTCAGATGACAGACGCAACTTCTGCGCTGGGGCTTAGATAAATATATATACGGAGGACTAATAACAGGATGCGGTTAAAATCGACCAATTAATTTTCATTTAAATTCGTTTCGGCGGCAGCTTTTCACCAGAAGCTGTAAAGTCGACGATTAGAAAGTCTCGCAATAATGGCGGAAGGAGATACAATTTAAATTGATGGAGATGTAGGCTTTTACCTTGATAACCTTGCTTGGAGTAAGTAGCACCTTCGGAAGTGGGATCGCTTCTATACCTAGAAACCCCAACATGAGCGCATCATGCTGTAAGAATGTATCTCCTTAAGGCCCGGTTTTTCAATCGCAGGATAACTACGACCTTGGTCTTAACTTATAGTTATTTATGAAAAAGCGTTTTTCAATATCATGTTTATAGTAAAACGGAAGTTAACTTTAACCAGAAGACTATCTATGAGTTAACTAGAAAGGCTGTAGTTAAATAGCAATACCTGACGTTTTTTGACATAAACTTTGACGTTTATTCAAAAAATCACAACAACTCCATATCAATCTATCGATTAATTTAAGCTATAAACATGTTTATGAATTACCACGTGAATGCATATAGCACGATTTCGTCTTACAAAAAGGACTGTAGAAACTCTCCAGGACGAATTCTATGAAGATTTAGTATATCCTGCAAGCAGGTAGATTTTATATTATTGTTTATTTCCATATTTTTCCATGACTTTGTCATTCCAGGAATAACTGCTTAACGCCCCAACAGCAGCTGTTGTTAGCACTGCACAATGGAAGTTTTTTAACTGTTGCTGGAAATTTTGCTGGGGTTTCCAAATCAACTGCATCCAAAACAGTCCGAAGATTAAGTACGAACGAGTAAAAGAAGTAATCATATAGAAATGCTGGACACTCTTGAGGCTCTTGCCAGGGCAAAGCAATCCTTTTATAAATGATATAGCTAGGTTTCCTCAATGCATAGGTGCAATTGACTGCACGCATATAAAATTTGTTTCTCCCGGAGGAAGTCATGCAGAGCTCTTCAGAAATCGAACTGTTTCTGACGCAGATTCATACATTTTCGGAAATTCTCAGCTCTACAGACAATTTGAATCAGGCCACTTTGGAAACTCTTTGTTGGCTGATGACAAAGGTTATCCTATTAAATGCTATTTGATGACACCATTAAATACAACTACAACTCGTGCTGAAGAATTATACAATGAATCTATCATTCGTAGTCGCAATGTTTTAGATAGAAGCTATGGAGTTTAGAAAATAAGATTTCCATGTCTAGCTATGGGTCTCAGAGTTCATCTAGATACAGCTCAATCAGTTACTCTAGGAACAGCAGTGGTACATAATATTGCTTGTCCTAATAATGAAGCTATGTCCTTATTAGTCCTGAACAGGAAAATGCTATTAACATGGTTCATGTAGATAATGTGAAGACAGATCCTGTAAATATTAGGTTGCCACAAAATGCAATCAAAAATGTTAGAACTTACCATATTAATAATTATTTTGCAAATTTGTAAATCGATTCAATATATTCACTGATGCTCAGTGAATGACTCGATGCTAGATGAAAGTTGTTTAGTATAAGATCTGTGATAATCCATGGCAGGTGGATAAGAGTTGTGGCCAAAATTGTTGGTGCCCAAAAAAGGCGGACACGGTATTTGAAAATAGATGTCCCAAAGCCTCAAAATGGGTCGATCTTTTTAAACACCTAAAGTTTTCGCCATAGCTCTCATCTACTTGACATGAATTAACCCCTATTTATTGTAACTACAGAATGAAAATAAACATGATTTTCTAAAAACAGTTTATTATCCTAAAAAATGCGAAATACAAAACAAAAACTGAGTGCAAGTGAAAATCCAGTAATTAACAAAATAAATCCTTTGTTTTCTACTTATCGAATGCATTGATCTGTAAATCTAACAGCGGAACCTTTTTTTTGATATATTTCCATTTTTTTATTGTCTTCTTCGATGAATTTTTCTTTTTGTAGTTTCAAAAAATTCAGCTTCCCTTCCATTAGTAGATAGTTAACAGAAATATATTTTTTACTTTGTACCGTTTTCGTACATGATAGCTTTGTAGTTTTGGGCCTCTTCAGTTGTTGGGGAGTATAGGAGCTCCATTTTCCATTATTGAAGACCACTTTACTGTCATCACAGTTATTTGCATAAGGAACTAAAAAATGAATAATTAAAAAAATGTTTCAATCAACAGCAATGAGACTTACCATGTTCACAAACCACCTCATCTTGGTCAGTACACTCATCATCATAATTGTTTGTCAAACCTTCTAATTGTGGTCCCATTATATCTTGTATTTGTGTATCAATCAGATCGAATGCTTGCAATTGGCATGAACCTCCCCCTGTCTTGATTATATTGGTTTTATTTGTAGCAAATTTGCTTTTTGTTTTTTTCTTTAAATTGAAATGTTTTTCTCGTAGAGTTTTTGTCTCTCGGTGGCACCCTGTTAGGGCTTGGAATTCTTGTTCGATGCTCTGCCACACTGAACCATTCTGTTTCCACGCAACTATGTCACTTGTTTTGCTCTCTATTACATCTTTACTTTTGCTCACCAATGATATTAGCATCATTTCCTCATTTTTCGAGACATTTTGATCTCTTTCTCCATGCTAGAAAACAGTTTTTGAGAAATTTTAGCAACAAGAATAGAGGTATTGTGTATCCGCTTTATCTCTGGATTGTAGATTATAGGAGTGATATTAAAAAAGGTGGAAAATACGATATTCATCAGATATTTACAACTTAATCGTTTTTGGACCTTAGTATGGTTCATTAGACATTGCATTTGCAAACTTCTTTATCACCATTTATATCTATAGGGTCTACTACTAAAGATTTGTACGAGCAATATTTGAAAAACTTACCTCACTTGACGAAGGTTTTATGTTTTATTCGTTTTTAATGAAATTTCCGGATGTCGATTTTGGCTGTTTTAAGAAATTTAATTCAATCGAACTGTCATGTCTGTCGTATGACACGGGACACAGATGGCGAGCGCACAAAACACATAGAACACTATATCTAAGAACCGCAGATACAGGGCTGTAACATAAATATATGTTGAACTTCTGGTAAGTTAACTGACGCTGTCAAAATACTTGAAAAACTCAAGTTAACTTCCTGGCGATAGTTAACTAACCAAAAAGTTAACTTGTGATTGAAAAACCGGGCCTAAGATAGATATGCACGATTTGGATAAATTTTATAAACGAACTCATTGGAAACTAATTTTGAGATACCAAATTTACTAATCATTTTGCTGTATTTTAAATAGTTCGTAAAACAGTTGCAATAGTCTGTCTCTAAAAACAACAATACATTTAACCGACTTTATAATTTCAACAAGCATTATCGTTTGTATCTTTGAATAACGTACTTTCAAGTACAGGTTATTTATTTATACATAATTGCCCAACAGAATAATTCAATGACAGGAAAATCTATTGGTAACTTAACTAATGGTGTGCATACAAGAACCAGATAAAACAAAATTAGCTATTGTAGTAGTTCCTGAAGTTTGACAAGATTTCACCAATACAATCAAAATCATTGTCAGAACTGTCTGCTATGAAATTATAATTATTGCATATACGAGTATGTAGAATACACCTGAGAACAATATCGAACGTTGGTACGGGACGTACTGCAGTAGATATTTAGTCCTTCTCGAATTTATACGCGATATACAAAAATACAGCCTCTGGCGCATCGATTCTGTCGTGCAAAGCTTATGGAGGAACGTTAGTCTAGCAATGGAACGTCTTAATTGTAGAGACTCTAGCTTGGAACGTCCCAGCAGAATAAATTGAATGCCATCAATTTTATGAGTACAATATTTAAGGAATTTCCTTTGTACGATATTCACATAATATGCATAGAAAGGGATTCACATAAAAAAATCGTACCCGAGTTTTGGTTGCACCAGCGAAATAAGAGTTTTTATTACTGCTTCGTTGGAAAAAGATCGGCAATTACGCAAAATGAAACCTAGAATCCGTGTCGCTTCAGAAGTGATGCATGATACTGGACCCAAAACTCCAACCTGCAGGAAAATGTTACACCACAATCTTTAGTCTCCGTTGTTCTTTCCAAAATCGCATTATTTATGGAGTAATCAAAGACAGTCGAGTTCTTTTTGCGACTATACGAACAAACCATATACTTAGAAATTTTTAAGCAGAGAAAGTTGTTGTTACACCACTGAGTGATAGTATCCCTTAAGTGAAATACAGTTCTCAAAATTTGTAATTTTGGAGTAGATTTTCATATCCTCGGCAAATAGTAGACTGTGACATTTTATATTATAATTTGCTAAACAATAACCTTTACAATAAACATATTGCGTCTACAGAAGTTTTACATTTACAGACAGTTCAATGTGTTTTTTCAAATCATTAAGAAAGAACACTTTCTTGAAAGCCACATATCATCCCTTGAGGTTACACGAAGGTTTATGGCATATTCTTTTTCCCAGCGAGATTTTTATTAAGGAGCCCTACTTGTCACGCTAGTCGGTGTAAGCTGTGGTAGTTTTTGTCGAGAGGTAAGCATAGATATCCATGTTTTATAGTATAATCAATTAACATCTTATTTTTCATAGGTATAGAATGGTGTCCGAAGAAATCTTGTAGAAAAAATCCGTAGTCCAGGGAAAACTTGTAGAAATTGATGAGACCAAAGTGGCTAGAACAAAGTCTGGTTGCAGAAGAATTGTAGAAAGGCAATGTTGACTTGGAGCAACTGAACGCGAATCTTCCAAATTATTCGTTGTTCCTGTACCGGACGATCTGCAGATACCCCTTTGGAAAGAAACATATTTTGCCAGAAAGCACTATCTTTTCGGACTGTTGAAAGGCATAGAATACTGTTTCCTTGCAATGTCTACCAACATCTTATTGTTAACCACAGCATCAGCGTTATGGATCCTGTAACTTGCGAGACATATTGTTCAGGGTGTCCGGCTATAAATTGACCCCCTCCAACTGTTTTATATGACCGTTAAAAAAAAAGTTGTATGCCAGAGAGGAATGGTGATTCAACGGATGAAGATTCAGTTTCTGATGATCCAGTAGATAATGTTATCACATCAGCGGTAGACAAAAGTGTTGAGAAGAAGGATGAAAGTAAAGCTAATAAGAAACCCGAAAAGGTATCTACTATTGAGACAACTATCTCAGAGAGTCAGGTTACGGAGAGAAAGTGGTCGGACGAAGATGAGGAAGCGAGCGACAGCGCACCCGATGATTTCCTTAAATTGATACAGGAATATGTTGCACGTGAAGCTAGTATAGTGGAGAAGAATGTTCCTATGGGTGGAGACAAAGTTAAGATTTCCAAAGCTTTTGAGATACCTAATGAGATTGTGTATACTCAAACGCATTGTTACGAAATTACCTTGAAAGGAAAGAATGAAGTGGTCAAAATGGAATATATAGGTGAAGGCAAAGTCAGTTATATTGTAATTTTGGAAAAACATAAGAAGGGGACAGGTAGTGTTAAGTCTGCTTTTTACGTGACAAACAAATCAATACCAGCTGATTTGATAATTAATGTTAGTGATTTAGAAATAGAGTAAGATATATATTGTCTAATATGAAGTTCTTCATGTAAAATTTTTGTTGTATTTTCAGGGAAAGTATTTTTTTCTGATTCAAAATATACTCTGGAAAATCAACCTTCTTTATTAACGTTCCTAATCCGTCATACTGTTTCCTCGGGCCAATTAGCTGCATCTCTAGTCCAGCAGCCCCTCGGGCGCCAGTCTCCTGTTTAAAGTGTGCAGTCAACACTATAAACTGGAACAGTCAGCCTGGGTAGCTTCAGTGTAGAAGATAATTCAGGGATTTTATGTATAATGCTCAAAGGATCAGACGCAAGATTCTTATTCTTTTCATTCTACTACTACTACTACTTCTCTTTTTTGTATCCTTTATTTGAGGCCGGACGATATTTATGATTAAAAGCAAGAGTTAGAACACAAACTGGTATATTAATGGCAAATATATACACCTCATGCACTATAGGGATGTATGAAATTTTATGTTACATTCACAATGAGATAAACCTTATCTTTATCTAGGTGCTCTAGTGATAGAGCGGAGGAGTAACAATCGGTAAACTTGGGATTAAACGGAATCAAAAGGGGTTAAAAACCAATGGTTAAAACATAAGCAGTTAGCTGACATGCGTTAATTATGTGATGCGATAAGCCTACAGCGATCAAGGGTTTACAGCAATATGTGTTTGTTTAGGTAAAGAGTAAGACCAGGCGATTCTACTTCATGCTCTGCCTGGCCCGTTCTCGCTTGGATTTTAATCTGCACCCCAGAGAAATGAGCACACGGAAGATAAAGATGTACCTTCCTAACTTGCATCTTGAAACTCAAATCAAACTATCCTCTTTACCTCTTTAAGGTGCTTCCAAACAAGGCTAAACTAATAGCCTCCTCATGAATGTGTTTTCCAAACCTTTAACGAATATTTAGGAGATGCAGTAACTCTCTCTAATTAGTGCCAGTATAACTCAACCCGTAAACTCTTTTATATCTGCGACTTTTATGGGATATAATGACTACAATTAGATATACCTACGTATCAACCTGTAGTTCTGCGACCTTTAGGGACACAAATGATATTATTTGCCAAACCAACCTGGAAAAACACCTAAATATTAACGAACCTTGTGTTTCGGCTTTCAGCTCCATGAATTCAATCCTTTGACATGAAACCAAAAACGGTACAGACCGGCTAGTAGCCAATCCTTAATTTGTACACTAAGGAAATGAACCAAAAATTTATTTAAAGTCCCCTTGTACATAGAAGAACCAGATTTCATCGGATATTCTTAACGCTCGATCAAGACAAAATGTCTATCCAAAACGGACGACCAGACTCTAGCTAGCTAATGCCAGATAAGTCCCAAAGTGTTCAAAGCAAGATCATAAAATGCTGTTTCGGAGCAGTAATATGTCCGGTCGATTCAGCACGCTGGTGCTATACACACGGCCTTAACAGCAACTCTTATTTGAACACCAAGAATTAGTACAGAAATAATCTAAGTCTAAATGGAATAAATAAAATATTTCAAAGTATCCTCGTATAAGCAAAAAGGCATCAATAAATCTCAAATAGAAATTTTACAAAGACTGGTAACCTCATACATAAACGCTTCTTAAAATCTATATCTTTATATTTTTCACGTGCAAACAAGACCAGTTCAAATTCAAAAATCGGAAATCATCTTTCTAATCAAAATTCGTACTTTAAAAATAGAAACGAAAAGCGGCACACTACAATTTCTATGGATAAAGAACGAGTCAGTCAGGAATATAAAATCTCTTACGGGTTCTGGATTAGAACCGGTTAGCAATAAATCCAGAATCTCAAACATACTTACAGAACTATCACTACTTCACTAAAATGGAACGCACTGGTTATACGTAACACCTTCTTAACTCTGAGTACTACGGTTTTCACTTGGCACACGACTGAAATAGGAAAAAGAGACTTGCGTACATACGCCCGCGCTTTAATGTTCGAGAACCGACCATGGCGGTCACGTGATACCGCCCGCCATTGGGAATCTTCTTCACGTCGCGTCGTGACGCCGAAGTTGTGTATTTGGTTGATTCAAAAGTATTTCTGTTCGATTCCTGATGGCGTACCCTTTAAAATGATTGCCTATACCCCTAGGACTTCTCATTCACAAGGTCCAGATCAGACCCTGAAGGACTTGCACCCCTAAAAGGGCCTACACCCAGGTATAGCGGTCTCCTCGTCGACCTGCGGCGCACTGGCTCCGTGCAAGTTGCAATGTAGTGTACGTCAAGTGCATTTAAAACTGGAAATAAAACCAATTGACATCTTACTCCCCCTTTTGCCCTTTGTTAGGGACGTTACAGGATCCACGTCACCAGGAAGGCTGTGTGACAATTCCCTCAAGACACCGGGACATTGAACAAAGACTTTTCAATAGTTATAAGGTCACTACGTGCTTATTCCAGCCAGTGCCTTAATACGCTACTTTGGAGTGTTGTTGTTCCCCGTAGATCCCTGAACATATGGTATTAGTCCTCCCTCAGGCCGCATTCCTGACGTCCTAAATATAGTTTACAGCTACTGCTTAAAATTTCATTTAAGTCATTTCATTCGATATATTCTAATATGGAGAACGAAAGATACCAATTTCTGTGATTTTGCTGTGAAACCCATGGCAATAAAAACGAGTGTGGAATGTCATAAAAACATCAGGTTCGCTTGAGGATTCGAGACTCTCTATTGGAGACGAAATCATGGCAATATCCCTAATATGGAATATCGGAACCACAATCAATAACCAATTTAAAATTTAACTTTGTCAATAAGACGTGGTTATGAGATGTTAAAAAATACGCAATCGACGGCAGCGGGAAAAAAGACTTCATCACAATATTATGTATTAGAATTGATCATGCAACTGGTATAAAACTATAAACGTTCATCTAGTACAATACAAATCTTGACTTGACTTTTTCAGTCAGAGGCATTTTGAATAAGGTTGCGCTCTTTACCACATTATGATTGTGGACCTTGAAGTACTGCGATAAGAAATCTAGGATCAGTTCTCGCTAAATTTTGCAAACTATAGAGAAATCTTACATACTGTCATATCAGTACTGTTTTGTCTTTGTCTTTTGGGTGGCCGTAAAATAACCTTCAAATGCTTTCCTGATATCTCTGATTGGGACCCAATGACCGTAAATACCCACCTCTAATCGAATACTAGACCTGTTTTGACTATGCCTTTAAAATTACCTTCAAATGCCTGCATAGTCTCTAAATCACCTCTTGTTCAAAGTCACCGACTTTATAAAAACTTGAACATCATGTGCTTGGGCTCTACTGGTTGGCTTCTTTTGAGAGGGTATCCTTGATATCGTGACCTTAAGCTGCACTTATAGAGACAAGCTAACCCCGATGAAATCAATGACCCTGAAAGTCGAGCTTTTGTGTAAGTGCAGAAGAAATTGTATTTTTTGTCAGATACTATATACCAGAACAGTATAGTTTTTCAACAAGTTAGAGCCATATACGACAGTTGTGCCGAAACATTATTGAAAATTGTTGCATTTACATATTTGAAAAAGTAGATACGCCACATTGGCGTGTTGTTTTCCCCCTGTACATCCGTGTACATATTAGTCCTCCATCAGGACGCATTTTTGCCATCCTGAATATAGTTTACAACCGTAAGGCTTAAAATCTGATTTAAATCGTTTCATTCGATATAATATTCGTATATACGAAGAACGAAAAATATCTGTTTTCGTGTATTTTGCTGGGTAACACAAAGCGACAAAAACTCTATGGAATGTCAGAAAAAACCTCAGGTTTGTTTTGAACATTCGAGACTTCATATCGAGGACGAATTGATACTTTACAACAAAGCACTATCCCTAATTCGATCATATCAGAATCATGAATTAATAATGTCATCAAAAATTTGGTTTTGCTGAGAAAACGTGAACACGAAGGGAGATCAGAAAGAACGTAATCCACGGCACCGGAAAAAAACTGCATCCTTTAACTAAATATTAAACATCCCTGTAGTTGAACGATATAATATTCCAGAACACCCCACCTCTCGTAGCGTAGCTGAATCCAGCAAGAGATAAAGAAATATCATGGTCGACCAATATCCGTTCATATTTCTCTGGAAGAGGAAAATGTCTGGATATAACGGAAGTGAAAACTGACCCGAGACCTGCAGGAGATCGCCGAGGTGTCGACGATTCCCTATATTCACTTTTATTTATTTTTGTAGGATGCAGGGACTTCCTTATGATCTGCGTTATACTACAGGGTGATTCCAAAATATAAAAAAAATCAACCGCTCCAGCAAACTGGCAAACTGGTTCGAAGGTCTTCTGTTCCCTCTCTACAACTTTTCTTTGGACCACTTTACCAATAGTTCATGAGATAAAAGGGATATTGTAACTTTGAAGTTTTGTAAAAAATACAGCTAGCTAAATTTTGTATCTCTAGACGAAGGGGTTTTCCAGTTACCCCAAAGAATATAAATAATCCCATTGTAAAACCTGTCTAATCGATTTTTCCTAAAAGAGGGTCGATTTTCGGCTACTGGGCTTGGTCTAACAATCATGAAAATTGTTCAAGTCACACTAAAAAGGGCTGCACATTGCGACACGTCAACGACAACTCGCACACACACACCCTCCTACCATGTGCGGTCCCTCCACCACCCCTGTTCCAGGCAACCTCAAACCCTTGAGGAGTGGGGGAAGAGCTATCGGCTCCTCCCTCCTCTCCCGCCCGAAGGCCTGGTGTGGCGCTGCGTGGTTCAGGCCGCTGCGCATTCCCCGTGTGTGAACGACAACTCGTCCACATGACGATTTGATTTATACACCCCAGCTGTCTTGTCGGACCAGCGACTGGACGGTGGCTATCGCTAGCAAAAGGGCTTCTACGATCCCTTACAA